CTTCTAAAAATTTAGTTAAATACACTCATTGCCATAAAAATTTGCGCACCAAGAAATAATTGCGGGATCGTAACGAAACTTGGTATGAAGGTACATGTCCGGCAGATATGCAAATGATTAGAAATGCAGCGTGATTTCGCGTTACGTAATACCACTAGAGGGCGTTGAACTTCGTTCTCATTGGAGTATAAAACAGGTAAACGCTAAGGCAGACAGACCGTTACGCCGCCTTCGAAGACAATATAAGCAGCTGTCAGAGTTGAAGAGGGGAAGAATGATCGGGATGATGGAAGCTGAGTGGTCAGCTCGGCTAGTAGCTATTCAAGTAGGCCGTTCTGATTTAACTGTGAGGAGGCATTGAGACCAGTAGACAGAAGATACGTAATTTAAAAGATGACCATGCTCAAAACGCCCTCGACATACCAGTCGTCGAGAAGACAGGCACCTGCAGAGACAACTGCCTCATTGTCCGCTGTCCAGATACAGGCAGCACCTTCACTGCGGGCTTCTGTGTTTTTCCGAATCATCGCAAGGCGCCTGGCTGAAGGACATATGGTTTCGCGGCGCCCATTACGTGTGCTGCCGATGACACCCATCCACTGACGCCTCCGTTTGGAGTGGTGTCGCGCATGACAGAATTGGACTGCAGTGGAATGCAACCAGGTAGTCTTCAGCGACGGATCTAGATTCAGTTTGATCAGTAATGCCAATTGTGTTCGTGTGTGGTAAAAGCCTCAATCTTGCCTTCGCTTTACAGCGACACACTGCTCCCACAGCTGGTGTGATGGTATGGGGTGCAATTTCTTACGATTACAGTCACCCCTACTTTTGAACCGTGGCACAATAACAGCCCAGTGGTACGTCCATGACATCTTATAGCCGCATGTGTTGCCACACATGGCAGAGCTCACAGGAACCATTTTTCAACAATACAATGCTCCGGCCTCACTCATCAAAGATGTCACAAGACTGCCTCTGCCACATAACCATCCTTTCCTGGAGTTCTGGATCCCTTGATGTGTCGCCAATCGAGTACATCTGCGATCATTTGGGATGGCAAGTTGCACAGTCTTCTTGTTTGGTCGAACTAGAGGTGCGTTTACAGAATACAGAAACTGTGGAACGAAATATCTCAGGATATCATACGGATCTTGTACGCCTCAACGCCTGCTTGTATAGCATCGTGCATTCGTGCTAGAGGGGTCAGTACTAAAACTTTCGTTAATTTGTACTTTTTTCTACAATGAATCATCATTTTTCTTTTATTTTCTAATCACTTACTTATATTAAAGTAGTACTTACATATGTCAAATTTCGTTTCATTTTGACGACTTTTTCTTGGTAGGCAGATTTTTATGGTAATGAGTGTATAAGTTGACATCTACAATTAAAACCTAAGTTATCATTATTATTTGTTGTTTTCTAATTCCACCTGATTGGCAATGACAGATTGAGGTCCATAAAATTCACCGTGGCAAGGAACTATATTATATCTGCCGTTAACAGCAGCTTTGAACACCGTTCCAACCTAATTCTAGAGAAGAAAACCCGGGGAATCAGAAGGCCCCCTCCAACCTATTGATAAGAATTTGGGCTCATGCACGCACAGGCACAATTAGTTTTCAGACAGACATCCGGGATTCAAACCCAGACCCTAGGGCACAATGATCAGCGTTATTAACCACTATATCGTCTATGCGACTTACATAATTATCTGTAAACACAACGTATATGTATTATGCATTTGAATAATTTAAATGAAATGAACGCCTTGTTTAAAATTACTGAACCATAATACAAATAGAAATGGATGTTAACTGTCCATAATTCGTTAATGAAGCTGTGTAACGGTTTTTAATGTAAATTTAAATTTCCCAACCAATTTCATAAGCAATGATTTCTTAAATTATTAAAATAGTTCCTTTCGGGTTTTTATTGAAATTATTGTTGTTTTTTGCAACCGTTATAATCTAAATGAGAAGAGTTTGAAGTCTTATGTTTTATCTTATTTCCTTAAATTTTAAAATTTTATTACTTTGATTTTAGAGTTATATTATCGTCAAATTATAAAACAATATGAAGAGTATTGATGAAGGACTTAGTAGTTTTGAACCATGTTAAGTAACGAGGATGACATCTGACACTTTCTCTCCAAACTGCTATACATTGCCATTGGAAGAATTTTTTGAGCTCGACACATTTAACGTTCATCAACCCCTCTACACCACGGGTCTTCAGTAGCACAAGGACTTGAACCTGAGACTTTTATTACATTGATCTTGTTATTGAGAATTTTGTATGAATTTATTAAAATAGGAATTGGGTTGTGACAATCTATTAGTACATTTATTTCTTAAAAATTTTAATAAATACACTAATGAAAAAAATATTTAATTGAAATGTATAACGTGTAGTGTAAGAGATTAATATTTATTCAATTTTTTGTTCATTCGAAAATTAAATACTAAAGTTAAACGCATGGTTAAAATATTAATTTTGTGAAGTTTTCCGTAGTAGTGATAAAGCACATTTCTTTATGATTAATTTAGATGTCATTACTTTAAGGGAAATGTATTTTAAAACGCGTTTTACTCGAAATGTGTTTTTTTTAAATACTCAAAAGGAACCAGCGATTGCTCAAAAAGTTTTTAAAATAATTAGCTGAAATTTTTTTTGTTTATGTTCTGTATAATAGTAGAAGTGTTATAACCTTCAGATTTATCAATCACTGTTTTATTACAAAATTTGCGTATCCTTACGTGAATATAATCACTATTTTCTTAAGCAGTTTCATATAATAACAAGATAAAAGGCTCTAGTTTTTGTAAAACTTAAAATATCTGTTATCCTGAAGGTCATTTCAAGAATGAATAACATAGCAACACATCAGAATTGAAAAATTGAAAATCTGTTCATAATCGTTTGGTACAGAATGGGCCACGTTTATGTTATTTTTTTTTTGTCGACTTTTATCCTTTTTTTCCCATTTTAGTAATAATAATTTCTTTTTCTATTCTTATTTTTAGCATATTTTTCTTAAAATTTACTAAAAAAATCTAAAAACAACAAAAATTCCCATATTTCCATTTAAAAAAAAAGTTGTCGCAAGTTGTCGGAAACCTTAAGTGATTTTCATTTCTTGCTAAGAGAAAAAAATGCATCAAAATACGCAGAGTTTGTAAGGACCGTTGTATTATTCCACGTTAAATGATATTTCGTCTTCAGCGTTTTCACGTCAAACGTATTTCAGTGTATGTAGATTTTATTTTGCGAACAGAAAACATTTTCCCATGTAAATACATTCAAAATTAATCAAATGTCCGCTTAGAAACCATAGATCCATTGTTGCACAAATTCGAGAGAAAGATGTTGTAAGCCTAGAGATACTGAACTTTTACCTTTGAACTTATTTGCAAAAATCCGTTAGAGACATGACTCTAATAACTCCTAAAATTCCTTTCATATAGAGAACGTTAATATGAGAAACAATGGAATAAAATTATTCCATGCTTTTGCACTGGTTCTCAAAATAGAAAATTTTCTCTTTTAAATGATTATCTTTCCAGAAGTATTAAAGAGAGTTTATTGAAAATAGTATGTTCATGAAATGTGAAACGCTAATGAAATGTTTTTGTCATTTAAATGTATTTTTGTAAGAATGGGAATAAGATACCCTCTGAATAAAATAGAATAAAAATATATTCTATTCCCGTTATCTATGTGTGTGCTTTGTAAATTTCCGAATATATATATTTACAAGTAAACAAATGTTTGTGAAAACTAGTAAAGTATGGTTCTTGTCGCAAAAATACCAAATAACAAGTAATATAAAAAAATTAAGTCAATCCCTACTTTGAATGGATGAATAGAAAGTATTTTATTAACGATTGAAAATTTGAACAAGATATATGTATAGGGAGAGAGTGAACTAATAATAGAAATTGAAAAAAGAGCATGATTTGTGAGCAAAGTTGTAACAATGCACATGCCGTTTGCTAGTTTGGCTGAAAAACAGGTTTTCGACGCCAACTTTTGACATATTTTTAACAATTACATTGTTAAAACAATGGAGAAGAATCTAAGTTGGCGTCGAAAACCATTAATTAAATTATTAACCAATAATTAATGAATTAATATTTTAAAAAACTCTATTAACATTAAGTGTCATCCAGTACCAGTTTTAAAAAAATTTATTTGAACTTGATTGGATTAATAGAAAATATTTTATTAACGATTGAAAATTTGAACAAGATAAATATATAAATAAATAAATATATAGAGAGAGTGAGCTAATAGTAGGAATTGAAAAAATAGCGGCTTCTTTTGAGATATGCAACATGCATTAAGTATCGCAGGAATATATAAATGTACTTTCATAATAATTATTAAGAACTCAATGCTTCATCCTACATTTAGGTGTTTAATGACAAAAGTTCAAAAACAATATGTTCTATAAAAAGGTTTTAAACTCTTAATGTTAATCTCGCGTGCAATTTGTTTGAAAAAATATTTTTGCTCAGATATATCGGTTCGAAATGACCCTCTAAAATGTTGTTATGACTATGCTAGTTTGACTTTCTTCATACACCTCTAGTTCGAAAATACTTTCTTCTGTTAAACAATGGATAAAAAGAAATTAAAATTAATAAATACACACACACTGTCACACATATACGTAGTAGTATTCAAACGTACCCAAACTGAGTCTATAACATTAAAAAAATTTGCAGTAAAGCTACTGGGATAACGCTTCTATGTTACTGCATCCTTCCCCTTTTCTGAAAGTGGTTTGACCCAAATCGCGGGGTTGGTGACACGCTACAGTGTCGTATTTTGTAGGCGGATACGATTTTGTAGGCGATTTTCCTTGCAATTTTCCATTTTCCTTTCTATATATGGTGGACTATTTTTGTTTGTTACTATTTTTATTCAAAAATTAAATTTAATTATTCTAATAAAATAGTATAGTATAAAAGTAATCACATTCTCAGAAATCAGGCCATCCCATGTGGTATTCAAATCCACATCCTTTGAATTAGAAGTCCAACTCGCTATCCATTGCGCTACAGAGACGAAGAATGATTACTACAGAATGATTTTTACAGTAGAGTGACTATGAAAACGTTTCTGTGTTATTGCATCCTTCCCCTTTTCTAAAAGTGGTTTGTCCCAAGTCAAGTGGTTGGTGGATCTCCTCGGTGTAATATTTTGTAGGCGGATGCGCGTTTAGTACCCGACGATTGAAAGAAATGGCGTTTGTTCAGCAGAGAATGAAAATCAAATTTTGTGTTCGCTTGAAAAAGAGTTCTACGGATACTAACAAAATTTTAAAGCATGTGTACGGAGTGATAAATTATCAGGAACGCAAGCTTTTGAGTGGCATCGACATTTCAGAGAAGGCTGGGAAAGTGACGAAAACGATGGACGCTCTGGACTTTCCACACTGCTGAGAACATCGAAAAGTTTTCTACGGTGGCATGTGAGTAGAGGCTTGAAACAATAGCTCAAATAGCAGAATGAGTTGGAATATCCAAGACCACATGTCAACAGAGGCTAGCTAAGGATTTTTATATCCATAGGTTGTTTCAACGCATAGTTCCCTGCGTGTTAAACGAATATCAAAAAAGCAAATCGAATAGAAATGACGGGAGGTTTAATCTCGGATATTGACAAAGATTCTTCCCTACTTGGCAGAATTGTTACTTGAGGCGATAAATGGTGGATTGTGGTGCATATAAAAACATGAGAGTATCGGCAACTTGGAAATCGCTACGATCTCAACGCAAGCAGATAGTCTGCCAATGTCACTCTAAATCAGAGATAGTTAACCTTTTCTGGTCTGCCACCCACTTTTGGCAATTTTACCAGGCAAAATTTCATTTTTGCCCAGCAATAATATATTTATTTATTTAAAGAAAATAAAGATTTTAAGAAATGTTATTTTTCACAAAATTTATATTTTATTTTGAAATGAACAAAAAACAAAAAAGAAAATTCATAAAAACGAAAATTAAAAAAGTTATGCAATCAATGAGAACCTTGAGCTTGATGCTTCGAAATTATTTCATTGATATCTGGTTCAATTTTTGTTAAAAATAACCGAACATCCCCCCGTTCTGTAATGTTCAGTCTATTTCTTTGTTTACTCATAATATTATTAACGGCACTAAAACCGGATTCTACCAAATATGATGTTGGAAATGGAATTAATATATTTTTCATGTTTTCCCACATTTTCGGGTATAACTTGGGCATTTTTTTATTTTGCCAAAGTTTAGCAATTCCATGCTTACTGAACGAATTTTTGCTTTCTTCGTCGTATTTTAGTTCTAAAATTTCCTCTTGGAAAACAATATCAACCTCATTTACATCCACAGTAAAAGGATTTAACATCCAATTAGAAATTTTCAAATTTAAAATGTCGTTAAATCTGACTTTCATATCTAATGCAAGTTGTTTAATATAATCACTAAACCTTTCGATTTCTTCTGGTGTTATATCTTCTTTGATAGAAAACAAATTTGGAAATCGATGAAATTCTTTTTTCAAAAGGTTACGACGAAAAATATACAGTTTTTCTATAAACAACGACACAGTGTTTTTGCAACAAATAAGTGTTTTAAATGCGCCTTGAAGCTGCAAATTAAGATCTTCAAATCGTTTAAAAATATCTGCCAGATAAAAAGCATCATTCTTCACGATTTTCAATTCGTGACATAAATCAATTTTGTCATTTTCCTCTAAGAATTGTATTATGCTGGCATATAATGCTACAAAACGTGTTAGGCACACACCTTTTGAAAGCCACCGGACTTCCGTGTGTAAAAGTAATCAAATGAATTGTTCATCATTATTTTGGCACATCTGTCGAAATATTCTATCATTTTTAGCATTACATTTAATCTTGTTTACAATTTTTATAATTAAATTTAATGAGGAGTGCAAACTTGCACTTAAAGACTTCGCTACAAGATGTAGTCGGTGTATTACGCAATGAAAACATATAAAACATTTGGTACTACTTTTTTTAGGTGTGCAGTAAATCCACGGTAACATCCAATCATCGATGGTGCTCCATCAGTAGCGCATGCAATTATATTGTTCATCGGTATACTGTTCTTTTCAAAATATGTTTTCACAGCATTAAATATGGATACTCCTGTTGTATCTGTAATTAGATTCACTGCATATAACATTTCTTCTTGCAGTTCATTATTTTCATCTGCGTATCGCACATAAACCATCAATAAAGCATTATTGTCCACAATAGTAGACTCGTCCAGTTGTATGGAAAATGAAGTTTTTTTAAAAATTGTTACGAGTTTTTTTTCGACATCATTTGCCATTTCCTCAATTCTTTTTTTAACCGTGGTATCACTAAGCGGCAATGTTTTTAAAATATCCGTTTCCTGGTGCATTACCGTACCTATAAATTCTTTAATACACGGTATTATCAATGATTCTCCAATTCCATAATTTTTTCCAGTTTTTGCGATTAATTTCGCCATGTGATAAGACGCTAATAATCCGTCTTTATTTTTAGAACATTGCTTTCATTGTAGGACGATTTATAAATTTTCTGCGCAGTTCTTGAAAATATTCATTCGGTCTATTTTCATATTCAGGATGTTTTGTAGTAAGATGATCTCTTAACCGACTTGGTTTCATTGCTTCATTGGAAAAAGATTTCTGGCATAAAAGACACATAGGAAGCTGTTTGTTATGTGGTGCTTCTATAAAACCCATATTCAAATATTCTTCAGAATATCCACGCACATATTTTTTTTGGAGACATTTTTCACAAGTTTTATTATTTTTTTTTTGAAATTTATTTGATTCAGCCCTTCGACACTTGCAATGATTAACTGAACAACTTGCAGTTGTTGATTGAAGTTGATTTTGCCTGTTTGCTTGACTGAGTAACGGGAGTTGGTCTTATTTGAATACATGTAAAAAAAGAATATGTTGAGTTTTTTGTCTGTTTGGTTGTCCGAGTAACGAATTTTGGTTTTGTTTATTTGAATACATACTTGTTACTGCTCGCAATAAAAAGAAAGAGAAGAAATTAACGCCACAAAGTATGCAAAGTGTTGGTAAAAATAGTAATATAAAAAAAAATTAAGGAAAAATCTAGGAAGATAAATTTTAAAAAATACAAAATCAGAATTTTCGTAGCGCCCACCAAAAAAGGGGCTAGCGCCCACAAGTGGGCGATACGGACCAGGTTAACTATCACCGCTCTAAATGGATGATCATTCAAAAGATGTACTTCGATATCCAGGGCATTGGGCATCTGGAATTCATTCCTGACGGACGCACTTCAAACAAAAACTCTATGTAGACATCATGTATCGTTTGTGTGCGTCGATCCGTGTGGGCTGAGTAGTCATGGTTTCCTTACATGATAACGCTCCTGCACACTGATTGCTCAACTGTCAACTGTTTCAAACAACTGTTTTGCCCCATCCTCCTTAATCCCCTAATCTCTCCCCCTGGCCACTTAACTCTATTTTCTAAACTGACTTGCCTCTTGTAGGAACGTCGATTTCAATCTGCAGATGAAGTTTAAAATGCACCGCAGGCTGAATTAAAGGACATGGCTAAAAATGGATTCCAGAAATGCTTTGACGATCTTTACAAATGATGGGCAAAAGTGTATTGTTATTCAAGTGTCTTATTTAGAAGGAAAATGTGTTTCAGCAATTTAATTCATAATATTTTTAAGTTATAGACTCAGTTTGGATACTTTTGAATCCTGCCTCGTATTTACTAAATCACTATAAATCTAAAGAAGTAAAACAAAAACAGAAGTATAATCAGACAGTATAGGTCAAAAATAATTTTGCCACATTAGTACAGTAACAAACTCTTAATATTAAGAATTAAGATTGTATATTTAAGCATGATTTCCCGGTCAGTTAAACTTGACCTGTAATTTACCTGTATTACCGGACTGAGTAAATAAAACAAATAAGAATAAAAAAACATCTCTCTCATTTAATCTAAGGACAATAATCATAACATTACAATCTTATTATTTAAATGTATTGTATGTGCAAGTGCATATTATATATGCGTATAGAGAGAGAGAGCTAGAATTAGACAGTATTTCACAAATATGTTACGGAATTTATCAATGTGTAAGCAGTTTAATTACGAAAAGAGAACAAATGCATTTACATCTATTCAATATTTTTATCTCTTCTAATTTTATGCTGAACTAAATAATTAATATCGCAACGAGTTTTGGTAATGTATTTGTGACGTAAAATATCTTTGTGAACGAACCATAATTTATAGAGTTCTTTTTTATTTACTTTTCGATAACTTTATGTGAATTTCTTCTCTAATTTATTAATCTTTCAAAAATTATACATGTTAAAAGTATTTGAACTATTAAGTGCGTTTCTTATAGTTGATAAAAAAACTTCCTACCCTGTTCAAAAAATTGTCACGTTTTACCTGTGCTGGTCTAATCAGCCCACAGTTCGTAAATATTTACTCTAGGGCTTAGGAAAGATATTCTATATAGTTTATTTTGTATATTATTAGTAATGATAGCTATAGCAAATATATTTCAGGTCATTCACATTCCCTCTTCACTTTTTTTCTCTCATTTTACCACCTCTCCTTTTTCGATCGGTTCCCTGATTCAGTATAATAAATTTTTTTCCGCTTTTCGTTACTTTACGGAACAAAATTATGTCTAGTTTCTTTTCTTTTAATTGCGAAACGTTTCCGTCATGATGCAAAGTGAAGGAAAGATTCCCAATCTAATTTTTTAGGCACGTATGATACAAGGTACATCCTGGTTTCAAAATATCCGGCTGATTCCTAGAAATTTCTGCATCAGATAAATTGTCTTAGTCGTCGGTTTCACTTGATTCATCGTCACTTATTTCAACCGATTGCTCTTTGAGCCCTTGTGAAAGCTTTCTGATCTTTTTAGTAAGACTACGTTTACGATTCGCTATTTTACATTGTTGTATCAAAAATGGGACAACACTTAATAATGACGTCATTGTTTCTGCATTTCAAGAGTACTGGTAGCGGTGGCTTACTGGTTATGGTCA